AAGAAATAAATAAATAAACATTATAATATATATATATATATGAAAATAAAAAGTCAAAAACTGAATAAATTTCTCTTACAAGAGATTAGCTATAACTAAGATGAAAATATTTAAAAGATGTGTAATTAAAGATAGAAGGAAAGATGAAAAGTAGAATGAAACAGAGAAATACATGTAAAAACACTGGCTAAAATATTCACTGAAGTTTCCAGAACTAATTAATGCCATCCAACCACAGATTGGAAAGGCACCACTAACCCCAGGCAGGATAAACCAAAGCAAACCACATCGAGGAACACTCTGGTAACCTGATGAAAACTAAGGCAAAAGTGAAAACACAGAGAAGAGAAGGGAGGACAGAAACGTATTACCTTTAAGGGAGCAATAGTTTATCTAAAAGATGACTTCTTAACAGAAATAATGGAAACTGAAAGATAATAGAAGTTACATTCAAAGTGCTGAGTGGCACAAACCCTTTGTGGACGCTGAGTGGCAGAGGGGAACATGGCGGCAGGGAACTGTCCTCTGGCACAAAAATTCGGTAATGATAACTTAAACATTGTGGCTATATTCCTGAACCCACACTTTTCAGGTCTGTAACTGTAACTTGTGGGCTGTTCTGGAAGAAGATGCAGAAGGACCACATTCCACCATCAAGGCCATGTTGGGAGGTGACTCTGCACAGCTTTGAGGAAAGTCCCTTGGTTGGAGAGGTGTTTGAGGGTCAGAAGCTGGTCCATGTCAGGCTGGAGGGGTAAAACCAACCTGAAGAGGTGCCATTAGAGCTTCAGGACATTAGACCACATCCATGGAAGGGAAAGCACTCCTGTCCCAAACCTAACTGTTGAGGAGTGGACTTTGCTGAGGACTCTCCTTATGGAACTTCTTCAGTTTGTTAGAAGTTGACTTTACATAAGAAGAGAAAATTAGCTTGCAGAAACACTGGCTTCGTGTGTGAAGGAGAAATGTCAACTTAATGAAAAGCTCAGTGCTGCTAAAAAAGAACATGCAGGGATTGAGTCATCTTTAGATAGTGCCATGCAAGAGAAAGAGTCTTTAAATATCCCCGGTCTGGCTAAAGCTTACAGAAAAGCAAAGAGGATCAACTTGATAGTAAGTGAGGAATTAAAACTCTCTGGTTCAAAAACTGAAGGAGGAAAGAACCAAATGCTTGAAAAAAGAAAATAAAATGGTAGAGATTCTAAAATTGTGCAAATCCTTAGAAGATGTGAAAATCACATCACAAGGAATTTTGGTAAAGTTTCCAGTAAGCCAAGATACAGACTTGATGATTTTTTTTTTTTATTTCCTCAGGTGAACCTGAGTTTTCAAACAGTGCTGTTCCCTCCATTCCACTCAGGCCTCTTGTGCTGCCAGGCTACATTTACCCACTTTGACTCCATTTGGAGGTCACTTAGGCCCCTGGAATCTAAGAAGCCCCTTCCCCATAGACTGGAATTTTTCAACCATCACCTCCTGGAAATAGCAGTCTGCCTCTTCATGATGGGATTCTTTCAAACAGAAAGAACTCTAGACTTACTGAAACACACTAAGAAATGTTGGACTTTTATTCTTGTCACAGAAAGTTTGGGTTACTGCTCATTAGAATTTGAAAAATGTTGTATTTAGGAAAATAATAATCTTGGGACCAGCAGTGAACATAATGGCTATGTCACTGGACTCCCATGTAGTCGACAGCAGTTCGAGTCCTGGACCCAGTGACTTAAACTCATGCCAAGCGCGTGTGCGTGCATGTCCAAGATCCCAAGAGGAGAATGGAATGGAGGAGAAGGGATTATGGTGTGGCCATCCCCCTGGGGGGGAGGGGGTGATTTCTCACTTTCTGTCTCTCTGTCTCTCTTTCTGGCGAGCGCATGCGCCTTATTGCAAAAATGTCTCCAAAAAAAACGAAAGAAAAGGGAACCAGCATTTAGCATAATGGCTATGTCGCTGGACTCCCACGTAGTTGACCACGGTTCGTGTCCCGGACCCGGTGGCTTAAAACTCACGCCGGGCGCGTGTGCGTGTGTGCCCAAGATCCCGAGAGGAGAATGGAGAAGAAGGGATTGCGGCGTGACCATCCCCCCTGGGGGGTGATTTCTCGCTTTCTGTCTCTATGTCTCTCTCTGTCTGTCTGGCGAGCACACGCGCCCTACAGTGAAAATCTCTCAAAAAAAAAAAAAAAAAACGAAAGAAAAAAAAAATCTTGGGGCTACCAGTTGGCATAATGGCTATGTTGCTGGACTCCCATATAGTCGACCGCAGTTTGAGTCTCACACCCGGAGGCTTAAATGCAATGCCGGGTACGTGTGCGTGCGTGCCCAAGATCGCAAGAGAAGAATGGAGGAGAAGGGATTATGGCATGGCTATATCCCCCTGGGGGTGATTTCTCACTCGATTTCTGTCTCTCTGTCTTTCTCTGCCTTTCTGGCAAGCACACATGCCCTATAGCAAAAACCTCTCCAAAAATAAATAAGTAAATAAATAAACAAATATTTTATTATTGAAATTTTTAAAATGGAACTTTTTCAAGACAATATTTTATACTTATATTAGTGTTATAAGTAAATTATTCAGATTTTGTGGTCTTTATAAATATCCTATAACTAGAAAATATAAAGGCATTTGAGATATTTCTAGAAGTTCCTAGTAATATTTTTTCTATAATTTTATTCCCAACAATCATATATCCGAAGTAAAATGAACTTTTTTCCTAAGTATGCAGTATTCAAAAAATGAAGTAATAGAACTCTTTTATAATGTATTTATGGTTTATGTTTACAGCAAATTTGTATTCTGATAAAATATTAGATAATATTAAGATAAAAATTGTTTTTAATTATTTTATTTAACATCACTTATTTATTTATTTATTTTAATTACCAGAGAGGAACAGAGCGAGAGAGAAAGAGAGAAAGCGAGAAAGCAAGCCACCAGGTCTAGGACTTGAACCATGGTAGGCCATGTGGGAGTCCAGAGCCCTTAACCACCACACCACCTGCCAGCCCCTAAGATAAAAAATTAATGATTAAATAAAACTAAAGCACTGAAAAAAATTTAACAAGTTTGGAA